TCTTTCCCTTAGAGATTTAGCTGGGAGAGAGCACCTGTTCCAGGAAGCCTTCCAAGCCCTGCTCCAGGCCTGGTTAAATGCCTCTGCCCTGTGCTCCCATAGGCAAAGCACACGTCAGCCCTCGATGACCAGACTCCAGCAGTGGTTCTCAACTGGGGGCGATTTTTTGCCCCAGGGGACATTGGGCAACGTCTGCAGATATATTTGGTTGTCACAGCTTGAGGGAAGGTGCAACTAGTGGCTAGAAGCCAGGGATGCTGCTAAACATCCTACAGTGTGCAGGACGGCCCCTCTAACAAATAATTCATAGCCCAAAATGTCACTTGTGCCGTAGATAAGAAACTGCTCTACAGTGAACTATGAACCATGCAGAGCAAGCTCAAAAGCCCCAGCAGCAAAGTTACTACCCCAAGGGGGGCGCTTTGTAAACGTGAGCGTCACTGCTTTAGTTGTCACAGTGAGGGGCACCCTCTTGGCGTTTGGCGGGTAGGGAATGCCAATGTCCCCCCACAATAAAGAACTGTCACACACTCCTTTAGAATGTCGCACTGACATTTACATAGTGAACAGCCTCTTTATAATTACCTGAACCCAAAACCTGACCCTGTTTTACATATAAAACATTAAGGGTTTAGTTTGGGATTTTTTTTTTTTTTGCGTTTTGGTATGTTATGTTAAATTGTCAGGTTCATAAAGAAACCTGTTAGAAAGTGTTAGAAAATATTTGGAAAGTGTTAGAAAATATTTGCTAGAGGAAGAGAGCCTCTGTCCTCAGCACCCTCTCCAGCCTGGACCAGAATGTGACATAAGTGAGGATATGGCGCCACCTGATGGCTGAAGTAAAAATGGCAGGTGGACCCCCGTGGAAGGAACTCTTCCCGCCCAGGAATCTCTTCTCACCCAGGCGCCCTGCTAACCCTCCCCAAACGCAGCCTCCACTGCCACCTCCCCAGACGTCCCCGTCCCCAAGATCTCAGTGCTTGATGCTTCTTCAAGGGCTTCAGGGATCCAGGAAAGAGCCCTGGCCGAGAGGTAGGAGCTCTTAGTACTGTTCCCCGATCGGCCACTAACTTGCTGTGTGACCCCATGGGCAAGGGCACTGCCCTCTCTGGGCCTTGATGTGTAGTGGCGGGGGAGGGGGGAAACTGGCTTCTGAGGACCCTCAAGGCCTGTCACACTCCATCCTCTCAACCAGGAGCATCCAGGTGCCCTGTCACCTGTCTGTTCTCTGTGCCTCCTGCCCACAGAAGTGAGCTTAGGGGTGGACAGCGGAGGGCAGGATAATTCTTCCTGGAGGCAGAGGGACAAGAGGGCTGGCCTCCCAAGTTTCCATCCCAATCCTGAGCTCTTCTTAGTTTACAATGAGCCCCTGACCCAGGTCCCCATGCCAACTGCCACTCCTGCTTGTGAAGGTCATCTGTGGTCACTCCCAAAATAGAACTCTGCCACTAAGTGACCCCCCAGACTCAACCTCTGGCTTCCCAAGGGCTAGGGACTCTGAGGGCCGAGGTGGCTTTCTCCCTCAGACCGGGGACTCCCTGAAGGCGCAGGCAGTCTCTCCCTTTCTCCCCTCCCCCACTCCACACTGGGGTCCCTAACGGGCTGTGAAAGCCCCTAGACCAAGGGCTTTCTAAGGGCAGGCTCATCTCCTTCCATAGGGTCTCCAAAGATCCCAGCACAGCAAGGCAGGCTCTGAGGGCGGCTTGGCCCCCCCCCAGAGCCCACAGCTAACCCCCAGCCCCTGCCCAGACACCGAGAGAAGGCGGCAAGGCAGCGAGGCTCTGAGGCATGTGTAGAATAAATATAACTTTATTCTTTATCCAGTAGATCTCAGTGGAAAGTCCAACAGTAACAGGTGCACCAGCGGGCTCTGGGGGGTGAAACCCCAACCCCGGGGCAAGGAGGGCAGGGCAGAGCCAGCTCCCCAAACCCAGGGGTGCAGGGGTGACGGGAGGGCGCCCCCTGTAGGCCCGTCCTGCGGGGCAAGGAGGGGGCACGGGGGTGGGGTGGGGCAGGCCAGGGAAATGGAGGAACTCGAGCCACAAGTGTCTGCCGGCCCATCTGTCCACTGTGTGTGTGTGTGTGTGTGTGTGTGTGTGTGTGTGTGAAAGAGAAGAGGGAGGGGGAGAGAGAGAGGAAGTCTTCACCCCACATTTCTTTCGTTTGCTCCAGATCTACTCAGTCACACTCCTTTGAACTTCTCAGTATGTACAACCTGAAAACACCTAAAATTTAACACGCTCCAAATGAGCTCATTCCCCTAACACATTTTCACATTCTCCTTAATTCCCCTTTTCACTGAATAGCATGGTTTTTCACATAATTTCCCAGGCCAAAATTCTGACTTTATTCTTGATTCCTCTCTCACTTTCTATCCTTAGAACAATTGTCCATGAAAGTGTGTGTGTGTGTGTGTGTGTGTGTGTCTGTGTGTGTCTGGGGGCCCTGTGGGCGGTGCTGGTGGCTGTGAGGCTGGGGGGCAGGGGCAGCTCGGACCCCCTGGCCAGCCCCTTCACGGGGCTCGGGGGTGGGGGGGCTGGAGGGCTTCAATGATGTGGGCTCTGATGGGGAGGCAGCTCTGCCAAGGACACGAGGCTGAGAAACACACGCCTTTATGTTCTGAGGCCCCCTTGCTTTGCCCCTGCCCCATCTCTTGGGGCAGCCCCCTCCTCCCAGGGGTTGCCGGGAAACTGTCCACGCCCAGTGGTTAGGCAGAGGGAGAGGGGAGGGCAGGCCTCGGAAAGTTAGTAGTTCACAGTTTTAAAGAGAAAACTGAAGAGGAAAAGGCTGGGGAGGAGGGCTTGGGGGCACAGGGACTTAGAGAGAGAGGGGGCCCCTTCTGAGCCACTCCCCTCCCCCAGGACCCACCCCCCTCCAGCTCTGAATCCAGCTCCCCCCAATACACCGCACAGATTCCTTCAGTATAAATGTGCTTAAAATGAAAATTCTTATTAAAAAAATCAAAACCAAAAAAAAAAAAAATAAAAATAAAAACAAAACCAGCAAGAATTAATACCTGGGGGTTGGTATGGCAGGGTATGTACAGGGGGAATCCCCCACCCCGGCCCACCCCCTCTGTCACCAACCGAGGCAGGGGGGTTCCCCAATGGGGGGACAATGGCTTGTGAGTTCTGAGGATGGGGGAGCCAGGTCCTGGCATTTGCTGGTGATGAAGATGTGGAGAGGTGGGCAGAGGGGTGTCTTGATGAACACGAGGCCCCCAGGCCCCATCCTGAGGCCCGGGACCAGGGGTCCTCACTCAGTCCTTGCCCCCGATGTCAGCCCTGACATCTGCAGGAGCGGGCAGTCCATCGCAGGCCCGGGCCTCTGTCCGAAGAGTCGCCACTGCCTCCCTCCTGTCCCCCAGGGAAGGGAGGACAGGTGGGGGGCAGGGCTGGCAGGGGTCGCATGGTTGGTAGAAAGGCAGAGAAAAGCCAGGGCACGGGGCAAGGGCTGTGTCCACGGGCAGTCACGGGGAGTGCGTGGCCGGGCTGCTTCTGTTTGAGCTGGGGCTGAGGCTGGGGCTGCAGCTGCCAGGCGGGGGAGCCAGGCCGCCCCCATCCCGCCCCCCACCCCCCGCTTGTCCGCTCAGAGTGTCCAGGCCCTCTGAGTTCTCCAACATTTCCTGGATGAGAGGTGGCATGGAGCCCGGGATCTCCATCTTCAGCGTGATGACCCGCTCAGCCCCTGCAGGAAAGGAGGGACAGAGGTCAGCAGGCCCGCCCTGCTCCTCCAGCCCCACAAGCCAAGTGTGGTTCCAGGAGGGAGGGGCGGGGGTGGGAGGGCCAATACTACCCATATCAGCTTCCACCGTGCGCTGAACTCGGGGCTCAGCTCTTTGACATAAAGCAGCCCTCCTAAGCCCCCACGGCCGAGGGGCAGCAGGGCAAAGTGGTCCCAAACTCGGGCTCTGGGGTCAGACCGCCTGGGCTTGACGCTGGGCCCTTCCTATGTGCTGTGTGCTGTGGACTCTCCTACTGACAACTCGAAACAACTCTGTAAACACCATCATTATCCCCACTCCTCAGATGGGAAACTGAGGCTTCGAGCTGTTGTCTGACCTGCTCAAGGACACACACCCACACAGTCTGGTTCCAGAGCCCTTAACCACCACGCAAAGATGACACTGCCACCTTGGGGCTCGCAGGCAGGGGTCACCTAGGCAAGGTGGGGTCCGGTGAGTGGGGCATCACATGGGCACAAAGACGTGGGGTGTCAGCTCAGATGCAGGAGGCCTGACCCTGGACATGGACGGTGGGTCCTGGTCCAGGTGTTGGGGCCCAGCCCCAGCAGACACATGGGGCATCTCCAGGTGTGGGAGCCTCACCCTTAGCACTGATGCTTCGCAGGTCTGTGATCTTCATCAGCATCTTGGGGAACATGTGTGGGCGGCTGGGCCTCCGTTTCCGCACATAGACCTTCAGTGCCTCAAGCAGCGGCTCCTGCAGCATGTCCACCCTGTCTGGCTGCTCCAGGTCCTGCCGGTCTGAGGAAGCAGAAGCAGAGATGCCGGCTGAGTAGCTGCCCTAGCCCAGCGAGGATCACAGCTGCACTTCTAGCCTTGACCACCAGGGGGCATGCCTGCCCAGACCACGGGCTGAGCTTCTCTGCTGGGGGGCGGGGGGAGGGCGGGGGCGGTCCCCACACAGAAAGGCCCTAAGAGGCTCTCAAATGTGAGCAAAGAGGGGCTGGGGACAGGGGTTGCCCAAAGGTCCCCCTGAGAGCCAAGCTCATGGAGGTGGGATCCCTGAACACAGGCAGTGCCACCTTAAGTAGAGACAGGTCTCCCACTCCTGCCCATTATTCTAGACACCAGCCTGATAAGGTAGAACTCATAATAATAAAATAATAACAGCAGCCAACGTTTACTGGGTCTTACTCTGGGCACACTGTGCCTTATTTATTACCTCCTAATCCTCCCATCAACTTTATGAAGGGAAGACCATTACTGCCCCCATTTTACAGAAACAGAGGCTCAGAGAAGTTCAGCAACCTGTTAAAGGTCACACGTTTGGCCAGGATTTGAACCTGGGTGGTCTGACCTTCAAGTCCTCACTCCTAAGCCCCCTACAAGGAGCACTGCCTGCAAACGGAACCAGAATCCAGGTCTCCATCACGACTCCCTTGCCGTGTGGCCGCAGACCAGACCCTGCTCCTCTGGGACTCGGTTTCCCCCTCTAACAGGGGTCTGACGAGGGTCTGACAGGTCCCTTTCTGATCTGATGATCCCTGAGCTTCTCCCCAGGAGAGGCTCTGGGGGTCGTACCACCACCCTGGGCCTAGCCCCCAGACCCAGGCCCCCTGCCCACCTCCGCAGATGAGGCAGATGGCACTGAGCAGCCCAGTCTCAGCATCATCCATCTCCAGGGGCAGCAGCTGGTTGGCGAAGGCGAAGACCAGGTCCGTGAGAGGGCCGAAGCCGGCATTGTGCATCTGGGTCCGGTTCAGGGTCAGCCCATCCGAGAAGGTCATTGTGTCCTGCTCGGGCGTGTACCGCGTGCAGATCCGCAGGATCTGGATGCAGAGGGTTCTCGAGTTCAGGAACTCACATCCCCCAGCACTTCTAGCACCAGCAAGCCCCGAGGACCACCTGGCAGGCAGCCAGACCAGTGCTGTCCCATAGAACCTTCTGCAATGCTGGACACGTTCTGCGTCTGCACCGTGCAATACATGTAGTAGCCACCGGCCACAATGTGGCCACTGGGCACTTGAAATGTGGCAAGTGCAACTGAAAAACTGAACTGAATTTAATTTTAATTAATTTAAATTTAAATAGCCACACGTGACCAGTGGCCTCCATATTAGACAGCTGATCTAGCTCATCCTGCCTCCATGCAGAGAATTAAGAGGGAAACTAGAATTTCCAAGAAGGCAAAGACCACAGTGGATTTATGCCTATGGTTCCCAGGGCTGGGTACACAACAGGAGCTCCATAAATGTATACTGGCTTCAACTTTCTCAAACCCTGATCCTGCCTCTTGCATCCCACCTCCCACCCCACCCCTATCAGGAAGAGCAGCCTGGTCACATCCCACCACAACATTCCACATCTCGACCACCTTGGAGGTGGTCCAGAAGGAGCAGGTGGGCTGAGCCCATCAGGGAAGACAGGGAAGACAGTCCTCCCTCCAGCCCTGGATTTGACAATCCCATCCGCCCCCATCCTGCCTCCAGTCCAGCCCACCCTCTGGCCCCACCAGATGCCCTGCAGTCCCCTGAATCCAGGTGGTCCCACACCAGCAGCCGTTTCACATGCCCCTTCTACAAACTCCTAGATGCTACCTCCTCTGGGGCATCCTCCCTAGGGTCCAGCAGTGTGGCTCTCTGTCCTTCAGGGAGGGGACAGCCCTCCCCCGTCTCCAGCCAGCGCTTATCACAGTTTTGCAAGCTCTGTTTACATATCTGTTGCCTCCACCAATAGAAGGTTTTCGAGAGGGGACAGTGGTGTGTTCACCCCTGTTCCTGACACCCAGTTCAAGGCCTGGCCACACAGGGTCCCAGGTGAATCTTTATTAGACTGAACAGATGGGAAGATGGGTGGCTGGAAGGAAGGTCCGATGGAAAGATGGACTGAGGGTGGATGGATGCGTGAATAGCTATACAGGTGACCCAGTGCACATCCGGGGGCTGAGTGGCTAAGTGGACAAGTGGACACATGGGGGAGAGGAAGGGTGGCTATTTGGGTGGGTGGGTATTTGGACAGGTCGATTCCAGATGGACGTTTAGGGAGGTGGTTATTTGAGTGGCAGGACATCCTCCAAGGACACGGGGGTAGTGCCCAGGTGGGCAGGGTGCAGACCCTCACCAGGATGTCCAGGCAGGCAGCCTTGAGAAGGGTGATCTGGTCCGCAATGGTGAGGGTGGTGAAGCCGGGCAGCTGCTTGGCGAACTCCACAGTCTTAATGATGCACTTGGTGGAGAGTTCACTGAACTTGTCCCAGAGGTCAATGTCCAGAGAGACACGCTGTTCTGAGCTGTTGTTCTGGGAGGACGGGGGAGAGTGAGGGCCTTCCCCTCGTGGCACCCTTCTCAGCCTGGCTCCACCAGCCCCCGCAGACCTGCCCTCTACTGCCTTCACTTCCTGAGAGCTCCTTGATGGGAGGCGGCGGGGAGGAAGGGGAGGCGGGTTGGGGTTGGAGGGGACGCGGCGGTGGCCTAGCAGAAGAAGGGGTGCCCCCGGGGGGCCGTACCGTAGTGTATTTGCCCAGCTGGCAAAGGGCGGGGAAGGTCTCCTGATGCGCTTTGCGCACCTTCTCGATGAGCTCCCCCACCTCCGGCGTCAGCGTGTAGCTCTCGGCGCACTCGGCCTTGGGCGCCTCCTTCTTCTTCTTGTTTCGGTCGTTTCTCACGGCTGTGGAGGGGCCAGGCCGTGCGGTTAGAGGGCAAGTGCGGCCGGCGGTTCGTCTCCAAGCCCGTCCATCCCCAGCCCGAGCTCCTCCCACCAGACCGAGAGCAGCCGGCTGCGAAGGAGGCCACCCGGCGGGGGCGCGCACAGGAATGCGTACACACGCGAGCGTACAGGCAGGCGGGACGGCAACACACGGTGCCCCCCCCGCCCCCCGCCGTGCCCACCCGGCCCACACACCGAGGCCTGCCCCAGGGCCCCGTGACCACCGCACGCACGCCTGCTCTCCCGCGCATCTACTCCAGCTCACACTCCGGGTGCGCACGCGCGGGGGTCCAGGGCTGAAGGCACGTGTGCAGAGTGTCCCACGTCTGTGCTCGGCCTCCAGGGAGGACCGGCTCCTGCCTCCACCATCCCCCAGCCCCCCGGGGAAGCCGTCTCCCTAGGGTCCCGGGGATGGGCTCGGAGAGCTCTTTGGGCGGCCAGGCGAAGAGTAGGGCTCCCCAGCCTGAGAGTGGGGGGGCCCGGGTGGGAGAATCTCTCGGCCCATTAGCCGGGGGAGCTGACAAATCACCGGGGGCGCTGAGCCGCACACACCACTCGGCTTTAAAGAAGCGATGGGGTCGTTACCAGCCGATTATCCCAGACACACAATCACTCACAGGACCAGTGGCGGCGGCTGCTGACGCTGGAGGAAGA